CGTGTCAGCGGGTGGGGTTTCTGCCAGAGTCCGAAGCAAGCGGGCAGCAGGAGAAGCAGTGGGGCTTGGGGAGGTAAGAGCCTCCCGCACCAGGCCACGACATACCTGAGAGACAGGTAAGGGAGAAGAGAGAGAGCAGCAGTGGCTGAAAAGGCAGAGGAGTGGGAAGGGCCAGGTAGTGGGGACTTAAGGGGTATGGAAGAGAGGGCTGAAAGGAAATCATGCTAGGGGATCTTGGAGACAGACTGCTGGACAGGAAGACAGAGTAGGGGTAGGGATAGGGGAGTTCCAGGAAGTGGAGACCTTGGGCCAGAGTCATGTTGGACGGGAGGGTAGTAGGCAGCAAGGGAGAGGACAGAGGACAACAGGGGACATGTCAGGGCACAAGGAAAGGCAAGCAATGGAGGCAGCAAGAGCCCTCAGCAGCAAGTCTCCATCACCTTTGCCTGCCAGTGTGTGAGAGGCGCAGAGGGGCAGTGAGCAGGTGATGTGCAGCTTCCAGATACCCACACACTGCTTTTCTCCCACCCAGCTCCCACCCCAGTTAATTGAGATGGGATTGTTCCTCTTTCTGGTTTCTTCCTAAACCCCTCTCTCATATTCCTGGGGTGCTTATGGCCTGGCACACCTTGTGAAACAGAAGCCCAAGCTCCTCATTTCAGGGCTGGGATTTCAATGGACTATCTGCTGTCCTAACCAAGCTGTCCCTTCCACCTCATCCCTAGAGTCACCCTATGGTCTCATCAACATCCAGTGGGCATTTCGGTGGCCCAGGATCCTTCAAATTGCAGATATAAAGCATCAGGACCCCACACCTGGGATGGAAGCTTCTAGGAAATCATGAAGCTCCAGTAGAGGTGAGGGTAAACCTAAAATGGGCTGGATAGGGCCTCTCCCAAGGCCCTATGGAAAGGTGATGGAAAACTGGGGGCTGAGGCCTCATCCTAGGAGACCCCCAGAGGGACCCACTTACCCTAGATAGGCAGCGGAGGCCAGAAACTGGAAAACAGCCACTCATTGTCGGTGCATTACCGTGGGCACCACCTGTAGGGACTCTGTTGGCCTCCAGCCGTCGTCAAACGTTCCTGACAACCACAAAAGTTCATTTGAGGGTGCCCAGTCAGCTGCCTTTGCTTCCACTAGGAATACCCACCTGGCCCTGGTCCTTCTGCTGAGCCACAGGAGGCACTCCCAGGGTCTTAGCAAAAACAATCCCTCAAATAGGCCCAGCACCTACAACTCTAGAGAGGTTTCAGATGGTATCGGAGACCCAGAGAAGTTAACTGACTTTCCAAAAAGTCACCCACTGTAAATGGCAGACCGATCTCAAACCCACATCTGAGCCTGAGTCCAGTGTTTTTTCTCTAGTATCATCATTGTCCCTTAAATGTGTTTGACACATCATAGTTTACAAACCACCTTTACTCATATTCTCTCGCTACTCATTAGTCATAAATTCAGCCAATGAGAAGGGCTCAGAGAGGTTAACTAACCAGCCACGCTGTTTACAGGGGGCATAGACTGCTTCGTGAACGCTTGACCGCAGCTTTGCCTTCCTCGTGCCCTCAAAAAGGAAGATGACCAAAGCTTACTATACCATAGCTGGGGTCTGGGACCCCCAGTCAGGTCTCACAGGTGATCTGGGAATGGCCTCCCTGGTGCTCTCAGGGGTCCGGTAGTCAGACAGGAGAGTCAGGTTGAAATCTCGGCTAGACTTTGGTGTGGCTTTGGGGACTGGGTTTCACCTCTTGGGGACTTCACTAAGAGAGCGGTAAAGGATACCACCTACAACTTCCAGTGCCTCTGTACTCTCCCACCTGTGCTCCTGGGGTTGAGTGAGACCAGAGGCAGCTGGGACAAGATTTGGAAAGATACAGAGAGCCAGGAGACAAGATCTGGAGAGGAGCAAAGGTCTGGCTGGCTGCTGCCCTCTGGTGGTGACAATGGTGACTGTAAACCCCTCTGTCAAGGTGACACTCTCCCCTGACTATCCAGGAGGGAGAAGCAATTGCCCCAGGACAGAGACAGGGACATCCCAGGAGCAGGGCACAGGCTCTAGCACTATCCATCTTGTAGCACCCCCTTCCTCACAACACCTGGACCACATATGTGTTAAATCCTTCTGCAGGGATGGAATGCGGCTCTCAGTTTTTTCCAAGAGCTTCTAATCTAGGAATTGGGAGAGGTGGTCAAAGCTGAATGAAGCAGTGGGCAAAGAGAGGGTGAGGGATGGGAGAGAAGAGAGGTTAAGGAGGAGGTGGGAGAGAAGGGGAGGGTTGCATGAGGGACAAGGAAATGGCATGGGTTGGAGCTGTCCCCAGTCCCTATCTGGAGGGACTTCCAACCTTCCAGATTCCCAGCTGATATCACATGTCCAACCTCAGCCAGGTGATTTATAAGAGAAAGGTCAGGGATGCCACTCCCCTTGTAAAAGCAAACAGGACAGGCACATGCAGCACGTGGAGAAGCAAGGGGCAGATACAAAGATTCCAAGGGGTCACCAGCAGCTACCCAGGGACCAGCTTTCATCCCATAGAGAAGGGTCTCATTACTTTTCCTTCCTTCCTTCCTTCCTTCCTTCCTTCCTTCCTTCCTTCCTTCCTTCCTTCCTTCCTCTCTTTCTTTCTTTCCTTTCTCTTTCTTTCCTTTCTCTTTCTTCCTTCCTTCTTTCCTTCTTTTTCTTTCTTTTCCTTCCTTCCTTCTCTCGTTCCTTCCTTCCTTCCTTCCTTTTTTCTATTCTATTAACCATTAATTATGGTCAAAACTTCTCATTTTTTCAGCCAGGCAGGGTGGCTTAAGCCTGTAATCCCAACACTTTGGGAGGCCGAGGCAGGCAGATCACTTAAGTCCAGAAGTTTGAGACCAGACTGGGTGACATGGCAAAATCCTGTCTCTTTAAAAACAAAAATGAGCTGGGAATGGTGACTTGTGCCCATAGTCCCAGATACTTGGGAGGCTGAGGCACGAGGATCACTTGAACCCAGGAGACAGAGGTTGCAGTGAGCTGTGATGGTACCACTGCACTCCAGCCTGGGTGACAGAGGGAGTAACCCCATCCCCAAAACACACACACACACACACACACACACACAAAATTCCTCATATGTCATCATAAAAGACAGTTATATTTTTCTGCTAATAATAGTATCTAGGGGATTCAGTTAAACACTTATTGTTTGGTGAGTTGCCCTTGTTTCTTTTAGTCTCCAAGGCAGAAAGTCGGGCATCTTGGGTTTCTTCCCCTGAAAACTGAGAAGACCATGCCGTGACACCTCGTCCCCACCCCACAGGAGTCAGAGGAACCCCTTCCCCTGTTGGACTTTGGCTCCTGTGATGTTCCAAAAGGTCTCTCACCTCTGACACCTTTGTTCTGAGTCATCAAATCCTTTTGTGGTCACCAGAGTCCCTCAGAGTAGCGGGCAGGATCTGAGCTTCTCTAACAGGCTAGAGAAGGGAGAAGGGTTTCTAGGGGCTTGCAGGGAGTCCATATTCTAGTCCCACCTAAAAGTAGTGCCTACCTCCTTAATTCTGCACCGAGTCAGATTCCTGCCTGCTTCTCCCGCCTTTCACACAAATGCTCTTAGATTAAATATGTGGGAAGGGGGTGGGAGGGAAACAGGCCCCTCTCTGATACAGGCCCTAAGTTTGAAATTCCCTTCTTACTGGGTGGATGGAGTTCCTAGAAAAGTTTTGGCATAGTTTTCCACAGGAAATGTGCAGAATGAGGATGGGGAGGCGAGGACTCCAGAAAGACCACGGTAACAAGCCCTCTCTGTCCAAAAACAAGTCTCCTTGTATCAGTCACTAGAAATCAGATCCAACAACTAAGCTAGAATTCCCTCCCTCTCCCAGACAGTGCTCCCAAACATGACCATCTTCCTTGCTCACCACGCCTGAACAGCAGATAGGAAAAACAGAGGCCCAGAGAGGTCAAGCTAACATCCTGGGGGTCACACAGCATCAGAACCGAGATCAGAACTCAGGAGTCTCTGGCGCCTTTTGGGAATATTGCAGCTGGAGCTCCCCCCTTGGCCCTGGAGACTCTCGTGGGCTGAGAGCTTGCGGTCCTGACCAGCTGGCGGTGGTGGCCCTGCGCCCTGGTGCCAGTGAGGCGTCTGGGTCTAGCAGTCACCTCTGGGCACTGCCTGGCTGGGAGGACAATCTGGGAGGGGATCCTAGGGGCAGGGGCAGGGGCAGGGAGGTGGCAGCTGCCGGTAGGGTTGGGGGAGAGATATTTTTAGAGGTGACTAGGAAGCCAGCACTCTGGCGCATCCCCAGCTGGCGGGCGCTGGGCTCCAATGCGGGCGGGGGGTGCGCGGCTGGGGAGGGGTATTGTGGGTGGCAGGGAGCAAGGGGACACCAATTCCTTGGCTTTGCCAGAGTCGGGGACGGAGGGATACCCCAGCACTATGTTCCTGGGTAGGAGAGAGAAGGGCA